GTCCTGGTAGATAGTAAATTGTCAATGAGCCAACAATGTGCCCTTGTTGCCAAAAAGGCCAATGGAATCCTGGGCTGCATAGGGAAGAGTGTATCCAGTAGGTCGAGGGAGGTCATTCTCCCCCTCTACTCGGCACTGGTGAGGCCACAACTGGAATATTGTGTCCAGTTTTGGGCTCCCCAGTTCAAGAGGGACAGGGAACTGCTGGAGACAGTCCAGCGAGGGCAACCAAGATGATTGAGGGATTGGAGCATCTCCCTTATGAGGAAAGGCTGAGAGAGCTGGGACTCTTTAGCCTGGAGAAGAGAAGGCTGAGGGGAGACCTGATTATTGCTTACAAATATCTAAAGGGTGAGTTGAAGGAGGATGGAGCCAGACTCTTCTCGGTGGTTCCCAGTGACAGGACGAGGGGCAATGGGCACAAGTTGGAACATAGGAAGTTCTGTTCCAACACACGGAAAAACTTCTTTATGGTTAGGGTGACAGACCACTGGAACAGGCTGCCCAGGGAGGTTGTGGAGTCCCCTTCTCTGGAGATTTTTAAAACCTGCCTGGATGCAGTCCTGAGTAATGTGCTCTAGGCAATCCTGCTTTAGCAGGGGAGTTGGACTAGATGATCTCTAGAGGTCCCTTCCAACTCCGAAAATTCTATGATTCTATGAAATCAGAATGACTGAAGAATATGAATGGGAATACAATATATACAAACTTGGATCAGAACCATGCCCTAAACACACCACCTATATCCAAAAATTTGACCAGTTCCACATGTTTCAGAGAAAAACATTAAAAAAAAATTAATAAACATTGATTTAAATGTCAAGTTTTTTTGGAAGGCACATTAGATGTATCAGTAAAATCTGGATTTAGTCACTGACTAAACCAAAAATAAATCACTCATTGTTTAACGTCCTCTGAATTACAACTGATAAGGAACTTTCTACAACTAATTCATACATAGACCACAGTACCTTTTAGAAAAACATTCAGCCTTAATTTTCAACTTGATCATCATAGATCCACCACAGCCCTTCTACAAGCACTAATACTTATTGTTTTGGAAAACTGACTTTAACATACAGTTGTTATACTCTACTAGATGGAAGAGTGATTTTATTAAATTTCTGTTCTGTATGCAGGTATGTGCATCTCTCCACACCTACTCAGTACTCCTGCTTGCACATTTAAAGTATCTCATTATCCCTTTTAGGTAAAGATTTTCACTTCAAGTTCATTCTCAGCTGATTCCTTACCCTACCACATCCCTCTACACCTTCTCTCAGAATTAGCACTCTCAAGAGAAGATGATTTCCTTGCTTTATTCAGAGGATCTAGTTTTCGTCTGAATTTCCTTTGAATGCATCTTTTAAATTTGGCTACATCTAAATGCTTACCTTCTTTCTCACTTTTGCTTGCTATCCAAATCACTATCTGGTACTTATTGTTTTAGCTACTGTCTTTGTCATGTGCAGAAACGTTATTACTCTTTTTTTTATTTCTTAATTTTTTCAAAATCAACTTTAGTGGAAACAAACACTGAAATCATGATACTTGGAAAGGGACTAGCTTCCTTGGAACTTCAAAATCTTGCTCAATAGCAATTCTTCAGGGATATATTGAGATGAGTCAGGCAGCTTTTAATCCAATTATTCTATGCTCTGTTGACTGTGCCAGTGTTAGAACCTTAAAAAAGTCTCAATGTACCTTGTACACCAGAATATACACTTTTAAATTAAACATATTACCTAAGTTGGAACAACAAAATTAAACCAGCTCTGGTCTCCAATGAATGTACTGATTTACATTAATCTAGCTCTCTTTAACCCGTGTGATCAGCTAAAATTTAAGCAAGTTGTGTATTAAATAGGAATTCATTTTATGAAAATGCACTTCATTTAATGATTCTGAATGTTACCTTTGATAAAAGTAGCTTAGTTTTTGTGCTGTTTTATGATTTTTTTTGAAAGAACTGCCAATCAACATCTTTATATTGCGTATCAGTTTATGTATTATGTCTTTGTATTTATGTACTTCTTAAGGAAAAAGAACCTTTCATACCCTTTACAGGCTTTCTACCACCTTTTGCTCAGTTCAATTTTGCCTCCACTAGTACCAGTACTACACAAAATATGCATTCATATCTGCATTTTTTAGAAAAAAAACATTTCATAGAAGCAAACAGAACTCACTTTTTTTCAGAAGATATCCTTTTTTGATAATATTTTTATAAAAAGCATCCTTTGTTTTGCGACGAATTGTATTGTAGATTTCTTTTCCATCCACTGTATCATTAAGCACTTGTTCTTGATGCTGGTAGACAAGGAAGAAATCAACATTTTTTTTAAGCTCAGAAATCACCATGAAACAATTGCACACAATGGAGCTGCAACTGAAATTTTATTGAATGCTACCAATTTATTATTATGTCTCCTGTGTTTAAACAAACTAATATAATTTAATACAATACCTTTGCCAGAAAATTAATATAACTATTTCTTGTGGAATGATTAGGCCAGAATTATGAGAAGAAAAATAAGGTTTAAATACAGACCAACTTTCACAAAGTAACATCTGTATTTATTTTTTTAACACTAAATAGAAAGCAGCATCTTTCACAGTGATTTATGCAAAATTTACACAAGTCTGTAAAGGTTATTTAGCTTCTAACTGTCTTCTACTAAGGCTTTTGGGACTGAGTAATTAAGGATAAACTCTGAATCAACAAGAATGGTGCAGATCGTAATTAAAATTGAAAGACTAACACACAAAGTTGCACAGTCCCTCACTAATCTTATTAGCACTCATGTCCTAAATTTCTGAAATTTTGTTCTTCAAAAACAGAGCATGACAGTATGTGGGAGAACACACAACCAAATGTAATTACACCACCAATTCCTTTGTTTAAAAAAAAAAAATATATCTGAATAACTTAAAAGAATTTGATGCAGTCTCACATGGAAAATTAGTCATCACAGAGAAAGTTATTGATACAGGAACCATAAGTGGATATACATGTGCCAAAGTGAAGATGATTGCCATGATCCAAAAAGAATTATGGAGAACAAGGAAAGTTGCTAGGTGAAGCTTTTTAAGGATCAGTCTCGGAATTCAAATTTCCTCACATTTGTCTCAACCACATTACAGAGCGTGACTTAATAGTAGCAGACAACTGGGAAGCACTGATGACAAGCCAATCAGCAATAAAGGTACAATCAGAATAATAAGACGTAAGTCTAGTAACACAACGTAAAATTTGCACTTGTTGATACTTATCAATAGAAAACAATATAATATAATGTGGCTATGATAAAGACACAGATAATATTCTAGGATATATCTGGTAAGTACTCTCACAGAAAAAAAGGAATTACTAATGACATGGTATTCTGAGCTGTTCTGGTCCATTACATTCAAGAACCATGGATTCACACTGGAATTGGTGGTAGTAGGGCAACTACAAGAATGTTATGAAGAGACAAAAAAAAGACTTGGTATACTCAGCTTAGTGTGCTGACTAAGGGAGAATACAAGCAATGCCCTTGTATTAATAAAATAGATCTAACAAAGGGGTACCTATTTAGGTTGGAAATTAAAACCAAATTTCTAACAATCAAAACAGGAAAATTTGAGAATAGATAGGGAACAAAGTACACAAATATACTTTAGAACTAGCTATAACTTTATGAAAAACTAGATGATGCGGTTTGTTTATTATCGGTGGTCTCTTAGGATGAATTTATGCTACAGGGCAACAATGTTCCAGAACACACCCTGTAATCCTAGCCCCCTGATCATCTCTGAAGCTTTTCTGCGCACATAGATTTTCTCTGGGGGAAGAAAGATGCCAGATACAGAAGAATGGAGGGCAGCCCAGCTCCCCCCCTCAACCCAATATAGTATTAAGGCACAGCATTGGTTCGGTCATGAACCAGAGCTGGGGACACAAGACAGGGCATTTACACCCCAGAGCACAGACAAAGCTTACCATACCTTCTGTTTACTACAAGCCAACCTAAGATGAGTGAATGCATATGAGGATAAAATGAAAGAAACACAAAAGCTCAAAACAAAAATTCAGGTGAGGATGATGCTGTTTAACTATCATGGATACCTCTACTGTAATTCAGTTCCTATATTACAAATATTTGAGGATTAAGTCAATATCTTCAATAACAAGTGTTCAGAGATGCTGTTTTACCTGCACTGGAACAGGATCTTTAAGGTAATATCCTTCAACAATCTGTTCTTTTCTATAATGTTCAATGATCTCAGCAATACTGTTCAAATAAGAAAAATAAAATTTAAAATGTTAAAGCAGTTAGTTTTTCCTCTGTATGAGAATTTCCTTTTCCATGCAGTCACACTGCTTCCTCACAAATTTATAATAAAAAATCAAGTGTTAAACATCATAATCTTGTTTGCAGCAATGAAAATTTACTAATACATTAAAGTCAAGAAAATTCACAGAAATGTACTCATAATGTATTAATTCTAAACTCCACAGAACATTTTCAATTAGTTGTTAAAAACACCTGTATTGGGTCTGGCTGGGATGGAGTTAACTTCCCCCATAGCAGCCCTCAGAGCTGTGCTCTATTTGTAGCTAGAACGTGTTGATAACAAATCAGTTTTGGCTCCTGCTGAGCAGTGCTCGAACAGCATCAAGGCTGTCTCCCCAACTCCTCACCCCCAAAGGCCAGCAGGCTAGGGTGGGCAAGAGGTTGGGAGGGGAAATAGCCAGGACAGCTTGACCCAAACTGACCAAAGAGATATTCCATACCACGTGATGTCATGCTCAGCAATAAAAGCTAAGAGAAAGGAGGAGGAGGGGGGAGGCATTCGTTATTAAGGTGTTTGTCTTCCAAAGCAACTGCTACGCATACTGAAGCCCTACTTCCCAGGAAGTGGCTGGACATCGCTTGCTGATGGGAAGTAGAGAATAAATCTTTTTGTTTTCCTTTGCTTCCACATGCAGTCTTTGCTTTTCTTTATTAAACTGCCTTTATCTTAACCCAAGAGTTTTTCATCTTATTTTCTCCCACTGAGGAGGGGGAGTGAGAGTGAGTCTTGGTGGGCACCTGGTGGCCAGCCAAGGTCAACCCACCACAGTGCCAAATAACTACACTACCTTTTCCATATTCAGGTAACACATGTGCATTTCCCAGCTTTCCAACCAGGCTGAAAATTGCTATTTTATTTTCAAAGTCTTAGAATAACTAGGGAAAGGGAATGGGAGATACTTCAAACAGTGCAAAGCAATTTCTTTCTAGGAAGACAGGAGTGGGAAATAAAAAGTTTTGTAACATGGATTATGCAGATTATACTTCAAAATCATTGAGCTTCCTCTATGGGGAAGCTTGCATTCTAATTACCAAATCAGGTTTAAATTGTATTTTGAAGGATCAGGAGAGAAGTAGTGACAGATGCAAGCTAAAATTCAATGCATCTTTGAGATGATCTTATTTTTGCAGTTATTGAAAGTTACACTGTAATAAAGAGAAGTAATGTTAACATCAACACAGATGAATCATTCATATACAAAATAACAACCTGAAAATAAAGAACTAAGTAATTAAGTGGAGAACAAAATTATACTTTATGTGTTTTCTCACTTCATATATACTGTTAGCTGTGCGTGTGAATGTAAACAAGGCACATGTAATAGATCTTTGTCCTATTACAGTTGGATAAAATTTTGTACAAAGGAATGATATAGGATACTATAAAAATGATCATAAAAACATGTAAATAAAACAATAGAAAGACATCTCTGCTTTTTCTCTATCTCATTCTTCTAAAGCTATGAACTAGTGTATGCATGTTAAATCAACAAATCTTCCCATGAAAATTTTTATTTTCCAGGTTTGTAAAGTGACTTGAATTTCTCAGTATTACTAAAAATCAAAGAAATTTCAATTTTTATTGATATGCAATATGCATATGCCATTTTCTCCATAAAAATTTAAGCTTTACCACACCGCATAATCACTTATATTTTGCATGTTGAACAACTATTGCCAACATCTTGCTATGAGTGCAATCAATAATAAAACAGCTGTATATAGTTTTTTCCTCATTCATCAAATCAAGAATACCTTGATTGTCAATGTCTCCTCTCCTTCCTTGGTTAAAAAACAGGAGTCATCCCTCAACATAAGAAGCAATTACCGGATTTCTTCCGATGTTGTAAAATGAGCTGAAGAATAAACTGAGCTGAAAACTCATTTTGGAGTTCAAGTACCATATAGACTAGGACTTTATGCCTTGATGGAATGATTAACTCAACTCAGATGGTCATTGTATATTATCTTACCACTAAAGCAGCCTAAATGACTGAACAAGCCAAACATTGCAAACGGAATGATACCACATAGCTTCAAATACACTTGAGAACGAATTTGCAAGTGATCCAAGTTATCTAACATGTAAAACGTAAAGCATGAAATCAGACTGACTACAAAAAGAATCTAACAGAAAGGAAAAAAGGGTTTATAACTCTTTTCAGTGTCTGACAGCAATAAAATTCTACTTACACAAAATACATCAAGGAAAATATAAATAAGCATGAATTAAAAACCTGAATAGTTAAACTGGGTTTGATATATAGAAATAAAGATGCATTTCTGTACTACATTACAGTTACTTTAGTAATTGTAAAATGTTTACAATAGGGCTTATCAAGCTGCCCAGATCCTATCTACCAGGATAATTTTAAAAGTATCTCATCAGCACGACCAGTATAATTTTTTTAATAGTTAATGGATGAATTAAGAGTTATTCCAACTGCTGACATGTCACTTAGTCAGTTCCCAGACCTATGGTATCATTGTGTCCTGGTTCCGGCAGGGATGGGGTTAATCTCCCCAGGAGCCGGCAGGGAGAGGGTATTCCATACCACGTGACCCATGCCCGAGCTATAAGAGGAGCTAGCCGGGGCGAGGAGAGGAGTTGACACTGGGGGTGGGCTGCGGCAGTGCGGGTCCGGTCGGTGCGCTTCGTGGCGGTACTGTAATCGCGTTTTTGTCTTTTCCTTTTGCTGTTCTGTTAAATTGCATTCTTTTAACTCACGAGTTTGGCCCTGTCATTTTCTTTTTCCACGACTGTGGGAGTTGTGCGAGCGGCTGCGTGGTTCTTTGTTGCTGGCTGAGGCCAAACCACGACAGTTCTTTTTGGCGCCCAACGTGGGGCACGAAGGGTTGCAATAACAAATTTCTTGTATTCATTTCCCATATTGGTTGGATAGATGCTGGTTACAATGTTACTTCGTTTGTTTGCGTGGCTGTGCTTTGCAACTTCTTATATGCTCTATCTACTCCCCGTGATGCTGTTTGTTATCTCGGGGAGAGGGATCAGGGCTATAATTTTGCTGTCATTTGCAATTTGAGCTTATGATATGATAACATCACTATTGAAGTGGCTTTGTTGGGGTGTCTATGCAGTATTGCTGTCTTGTCCATACCTTGGTTATCTTTCAGAAGTTATTAATAATATCACCCAATCTATGGGAGAAACAGGGGGAGATACTTTCCCCAGCTCTTTTGCCTCCCTTTTCTCCTTTGGGCCAGATATGACACCTCTTGAGAACTTTGAATATCCTTGGGATGCTCAAACCAGCATGTTTCTATTGCTATGCCTGCTGAATGTTTTTCAGATCTTGTTTAGGGTTAAGCAACTGTTTAAGTCTACCACCCAGAGATCTGCCCCAAGGCTGGATAGTCAGGGGTGGCATGGCATGTGGGAAAATATGGGCAGGTATCTAGAGAATTTCTCACCTCCAATGGTTTGGGACTTCACCCTCGAACAACTCCAGGACCCTGATAAAGTAATAGAATATTTAAAAGAAAAATGCTGTGGCTACTCCAGAGAGGCACAACTTACGGCACTGTGCTGGGCCCTGGCCAGTATCTACCAAACACTGCTCAGTACCATGCAAGACCCTCAGGGGAAAAAGAG